AAGCCATTAGAAATAATACCCAGGGGCTGGAGAGATGGCTCAGTGGAATAAGTGCTTCCCTGGCAAGCACAAGGGCCTGAGTTCAATCCCCGGTTTCACAAAAAAATAATAATAATAATACCCATTAATTTGTTCTGTGCTTATCATAAAAATACTTCTTACCTGCCAGTAACAAACTGCAAGAGAAGAACTCTCTCTTCTTGAGTAATGTCTTCTACAACTTCCCAGAACCACTAAAAGTAATAATAAAACTTAGCTCTTATTTCAGAGCAAACATAAACTTATTAATCCCAGAGAACTATGCAATATTCATAAAGCATATTTTACTCTATGAAACTCATTTATCAAAAATGATTTCATACAAAGCTTTCATATGCAATATTCCCACAAGAAATATTTAGAGAAAAATTTTACTTCGTTAATTAATGTAGGTTTTCATCCAATAGTACTTAAAAGTTTACAAAATTAAATGGCAAATCTCAACTCATTCTAAGCTCTAGAGAGATTTTACCTGAATAACTGGGTCTTCTCTTTCATAGCCACTTGTGTATTCTGTGTTTTTTATCCAATCACTCACATCAATTTCTGGCATGCCAGAAAGCAGTAGCTCCTTTGAGAAAACAGAAAAATATCTTGTTAATCTTCTTTGGGAAAAAAAAATATTACATTTAAATAGTAAGTCTGACATAATTAGAAACTAACCCACATAAAACTGATTTCTTTCAGTGACAGTTTCCACAGTCATCAACGGGAAGTACTACATAGGAAAAAATCCTTGATATGCTGCTCATTTCAAATACTGTGAGGTGCTAATTTCTCCACAGTGATTCAATTCAATTAAAATGAGACTGTAGCTTATATGCTTATATAGACATACACAGCCATTTATAAATGCAACAACTACATGAACATCACTTTAAGTTTACTTATTTTTATGTTTCTTTGCAAACATATTAAATTCTACCAGAAGACTATATTCTCAACATTAAAGTAACAGCAAAGACTTCAATAAATTCTGGATTAAAGTAATGTGCATCAAAAAGTTCTCATCTTTAGGAAAAAAAAGTAATATAAAAGATTTTGGGTTTTTTAAAAAAACATTTATGGTACATGCCTATAATCCCAGCACTTGCAAGGCTGAGGCAGGAGGACTGCCATGACTTTGAAGCCAGTCTTGACTGCATAATAAGTTCAAGGCCAGGCTGAACTGCATATGGAGACTCTATCTCAAAAAAAAAAAAAAAAAGAAAAAAAAAAAGAAAAAGCCTTCTAAAAATTAATTCAGACCTTTTAAATTCAACTTTCCAAAAAGTAATAATAAAATATTTATGTTGTTATTTTCTTGAAGTACTGAGAATGAAACTCAAGGCCTCATGCAAATAGGATAAGCATTCTACCAATCCTCTAAATGATTCTCGATAGACTTTCTTCCAGAAAGATCATCAAACACATCATAAAATCTCAATCATATAAACAAAAGTGAAATTAAGAATGGCAAAGTATTTACCGTTGGACTTTCTAAGAGAAAGAATATGAAAAGATCCTGTCCACATCTCTGAATGAACCCAAGTTTCACAGTGGGAAAGGTGAAATGAGGCAATGACTACTGGCCTGTAACCTACACTGTAAGCTAAACAGCATGGTTTGTCACAAGAGAAACGTAAGTACAATGTGCCTCAAAGTCATGTCTCCTACAACAGCTGCCTTTGAATTGCTCATGACTGGGTTTTTGAGTTTATTAGTTAGGTCTGAAGGTTCTTTTCCAAGTTATCAGCGCGCAAGTGGATTTTCTTTGTATACTTAAACCAAACACAGACAATTGATTATATGTAGACGCAGATACTAGAACCTTGCTGTCCTCTATTAAGCCATTAAATTACAAATTTACAAAACTAAATACCACTCTTCTATTTCATCTTTTCTTGAAAAAAGCAGTTTTTATTTTTAAAATTTATACATGTTAATATGCAATAAATGTTTCTTGTTTCAACTTCAAATACAGAAGCAAAAACTCTTTAAGAGATCCTGGGGCTAGTGAGATGGCTCAGTGGTCTAAAGCACCTACTTAGAACAAGCTTAGCAAAGAACATGGACCGCAGGTCAATCCCCCAGCACCACATGCCAGTCAGCCCCGCCCACAGGCGGGCTGAGCTGGTCACACACACACACAAATAATAAATAAAATTTTAAAAACCCACCAATCTTAAAAAAAAAAAAAAAAAAAAAAGAGAGAGAGATCCTAAGGCTATGAAGTTTTGGAACTGTTGGCACAGATGCATTTTAGTTCTTCTCACAGCACTATTTCAAAATTGTGTGAATGTACTGGATGAAGATATTCTAGTCAGTCTCCCTCAAATATATTTACTACCTCTCCTGCACTACACACTGGCTTCCCTGCTTGCTTGCTCCAGGCTGAGCTGGGACACAGGCAGAGTCAGAAGTGAGGCTATTTCTGCTCACTGTGTTGCTTCAACACCAACCACATCTCTGCAGTAGCCATATCTGCTAAACTATGGATACTACGAAGGGCCCTTGTTGGCAATTCAATATCTCACAAGACTCTTAATAATTCTTCCATCTGTGTCTTCAGTCCTAATCACAAGAAAGGCTCACCAAAACTTCTTTATTCTTTACTATTACCACTATAATTGCCCCTTTATTACAGTTTCTTAATTTAACAATCCAAGAGAAATTCCATTCCCTGGTAGGACACTGCTACAGATCAAGCAAAAGAGTGTAGGGATGAATTTTATATATTTCTTCTATGTCCAGATGGACACATATACAACAGGATGTACACATATGTTTTCCCAAGACACACACTGTCAGGATTATAGTAGCACTACTTAAAATAGCATGGAACTTAAAAAACCCACTACATATTCAAGATACAAAAGGAAACTGACATAATATAATACTACACAGCAATAAAAAATTAACTACAATTGCATCCAATAATATGAATGGTTCTCATAAACAAGTTAAGCTTTTTTCAACTTATAAATACATTTCAAAAACAGGTAAAACTAAGCTATGTCGTTAGAAGTCAGGAGAATGCTTATACTTGAATGGGGGGAAGGGACTGAAAGGAAACCCAAGAAGGACATCTTAGGCACTGGGACTTGTTTCTTAATTTGGGGGTTGTTTCCACAGTTAAGTTCAGTTTGCTGAAATGCATCAGGCTGCACATGTAAAGCTTTATAAACTTATTAGTATTAGTACATTTCTAGGCAACTTTATGCTAATTATCTTTGTTATGGCTGTTTGTGTTATACTTACACTTAGGTCCAGAAAATAAAAAATTCTCTATATTAAACTCCACAATGCTAATTTTTTTTTTAACCTTGTTTGAAACTAACCCACATGCTATATACCAGACTATAAGACTGTGAGGCCAGCTTAAGCATTTCTTTTCCACCTTTACAACCACCAAGACCAGTGTTCAGATCTGATGGGAAAGGAAGCTGGAGGGTCATAATGCTAATTTTAAAGAGGAAAAAACACTGCAAACAATGATACAAAATTTCAAATCACGACAGGAAAGTAACATCGCTTATTGTTATCTCCAAAACAATTGTTCCAAAATTCTAATTTATTCCAATCACAGTACTGAAAAACTGAGATTTTTAGTCATGTGTAATAATAGCTTATAACTACATCATTTTTAAGTGTTAAAAATAATAAATTTTATAGTTACCTAAATATAAATGAAACTATGGCAAATAAAGCCATTAATACTAAAATAAAGTCATAATACTCAAACCTTAAATTTAGTAAAACTTAGTCACAACAGATTTCAAAAGTATCAAAATGTGGTGGGTTTTTTTTATTTGTTTGTTTGTTTGTTTGGTACCGGAGATTGAACTCAGGATTTTGTGCTAGCCAGGCAGGCAATTATGCCACTGAGCTACATCCCCTGCTCCCCAAAACTTATATTTTATATAAAGATATACTATGATAAACTGAAATAGTGATCTATGTAAAAAGGAAGGTATATATCAACATCCTTATTCACATGGTAAAATGAAAAGGCACAGGGTAAAAACAAAGCTAAAAGACAATAAAAACCAAAGAATACTCTTCCATTGATATGGAATTTACTATTCATAATTATAATTTTTAAAATAAGAAAACAACTACACTCTATTTAAAATACTATATTTTAGAGATCATACTCATAAGTGAAAAAAATCAAACCTGCATATGTAAACTGTATTGTCTCGCTAGTGTAAGAACCTGAAAGAGTAAATAAAATCAGACCCACTTACCGATTTTACAATACTATGGTACAATAAACACTGCGAAAGGGAAAGAATCTGTTCAAAGGAAAAAACAACTGGAATGGGAGAAAGGAGAAATGAAGGAAAGGAAAATCTGGATAACTGTAGTGCTGATTTCTGCTGGTCCATTGAAAGGAGCAGTTATTGCTTAACTTTTCTGTCTCTCTTTAATTTTTTATAACTTGTTTTTTTTCCAACCAACTTTGCATGTTTGTATCTGGTAATCTGAACAACTAAATTTGAAGGCAACAATATGCAATATACCAACCTTGTTGAATTTCTATTATTTTTTTTAGTGAAATTCTATATCTTTTCAACTTTTTTTCTATTTTTTATTCTCTTTAAAAATGAAAAAAAAAATATTATGAAAACAAAATCCAAACATAAATCATTTAGAATTAGGAATCCTATTAGATCACAGAAAAAGGCAGATGAAAAAAAAAATCCATCAGTAATTAGAGGACTCTACATAAGTTTAAAGTACAAAATTGTAAAATTATATATATGGTACCATAAGAAGCTGGAAAAGCTTACACAAAACCAACAAAAAGTCTTGTTTTTGGAAATAAAGCAGTCAGTATCAGCATCCTTTATGTAGTCAAATAAAATAATCAAATAATGAAGAATACTTTATTCAACATCTTCAAAAATATATCCCATATTTGTTTATCACCATCTCATCCCATGTCACCTAAAATAAATATTACTTTGGTTATTAAGTTTAAGAGAGGTTAGCTGGGTGTGGCAGCACATACCTGCAATCCCAAAAGCCAGCCTGAACTACATAGGAGACCCTGTCTCAAAGAGAAGTGCAACAACAGATCTTATTTTTAAAATTCTCTAAACTTGAATATTAACCACTTAATTTGCCCTGTGCATCACTCAGGCAGCCCATTTGTTTACATACTACTTGGAGCATTGCTCGACCTGGTATCATTTCAACAAGCTGATTCTTGTATTGAAGAAATCTGACAAAACTGGGCTGGTGAGATGGCTCAGTGGTCTAAAGCACCTACTTAGAACAAGCTTAGCAAAGCAAAGGGACCACGGTTCAATGCCCCAGTACCACATGCCAGCCAGCCCCGCCCCCTGGTGGGCTGAGTTGGCCACACACACACACACACACACACACACACAAATAAATAAATAAAATTAAAAAAAAAGATTATAAAAAAAAGAAATCTGACAAAACTGTCACTTTATATTTCTTGTTATGTTATCTTACAAAATTAACTGGAAAAATGCAATTATTTATTTGTAGCCAGCTCAGCCTACCCTGGGGCAGGGCTGGCGTGGCACATGGTGCCAGGGATTGAACTTTGATCCCCGTGCTTACCTAAGTTTGCCTAAGTGTTAGTTCGCTGAGCTATCTTGCTGGACCCAATCATCCTATATTTAAATAACTGGAATGGTAAGTGGTTAAAACACACTGCCTCATTATACCTATTCCATTCATTATGATACTCTAAAATCATTTCTGAATTACAACTAGTTTTGCATTCTTAAGTACCAACAAAAAACAAATCACACTTTTCCTTACCAATTCATATTCATCAAAAAGCTGTATGAGAGAAGGTGGAATGAACATATGAAAGCCTTGTAAAAAAGCATTGATCTGAGGCTGAATGGCTCTTGTCATTCGAAGTTCAGTAACAAGCTGAACATACTCCGCCTACAAAAAAGAAGTTTTCGTGATTTCTTTTTTAATTTCAAATAAGATAAGGCTAGTAACAATCACTTCTCATGTAAGAGGTAAAGGCTTAGAATTATTTTGGCACCAATAGTCAAACATCTCTGCGAACCAGTATGCCACCATTCACTCAGATGTTCAAGCCAAAATCCTAGTAATCAATCATCCATAACTTTTCTCATGTCCTGTACCAGTAGTTACTATCACATCTGTTGTTAAAAATAGTCAGATACTGCCTTATTACCTCCACTTCCAACACTCTGGTCTAAACCATCATCATTTCTCAACTGCATTACTATAGCATCTAGTGACCATTCTCATTTCCCCCTGTACTGCTGCTTCTTCACAGCTCAGAGCGGGTTTTAAAATTACAAATATACAATTCAGATTATATAACACTTCAGCTGCGAACACTACAGTCACTCCCCATGACACTGAGCATTAAATCCTAACACCTTTTCTAGTTTTTAGAGTCCTGAGTGAGATAGCCTCTGCCTTACTAATTCTACTTTCTATCTATTCTTTCCCTAGCAAAGAATCCAGTTTTGATTTCCTTGGCCTTCAGACTATTCCACAAGCTTTATTCAGTGTCTATGAAGCGGTGGCCAAGTCTTTGAATGGTGAGGTAGCTTGTCATAGAGTACTTACCTAAGCAAGCTCAGAGTTTGATCCCCAGCACTGAAAGCACTCAGATTTGTACACACACACATAACCAAGTCTTTTGTTCCTTTTAAAACTAAACTCAATTTTATTAAATCTACATCTACAAAATATTTTAAGAGACTTTTTTTCATAGTTTATTGATTCTGAAGCTGTCTTAGAATCACAGTATGACTAATGAAATGAAAATGTTAATAGAAGCAGAATTCCAAACCAGATTTTCTGAATCTAGAGATCCTTCCAAATACACCAAAATAACTGTATAAAGACATATTATGATTTTAAACAGGAAAATTTAAAACAAATACAGGTACCAAGATTTTAAGATAAGCCAGCCAAATAGCTCAGCAGATTAGGAGCAGGGGTCGGGGGTTTGATCCTCGGGCCTGCCATACCAGCCTGCCCCCAGGGCACACTGAGACAGCGATTGACATTGGCATGGTGCCGCGTGCCTATAATCCCAGCTCTTGGGAGGCTGTAAACAGACGGATCACTATGAGTCTGATCTAGTAGTGAGACCCTGAGCACCCTGTAGACCCTTCCCTAAAATATAGAAAAGAAAGAAGTAATGATTACTGCAAATAGTACCTGCATTTAGCTTCTATTTCTAATCAAATTTTTCAAAATGCAGATGCCTGTTTTATAAGTTAGCTGAATATCGAGACTGTTTTTGAAACCATGTTAGCAGAGCCAGTATAATACTGAAGTGGCCTTTTCTAACTCAAAATTTGGTATTTGATAGTTTTTCTAATTGAATATTTTAATCTCTCGTGAAATTACAACAGTAAAGGTGTTTCTAGCAAATGACAAAGTAAATTTGTCAACTATGAGAGGGCCAAATTAAAAACAATGGCTACTGCAAAACTTCAAATACTCACTTTGTTATTTTGTGTCACAAGAATACCTCCACCTCCAGGTTTCAAAGGAACTTCTTCCATTGCTCCAAATACGTCAGTCTCAACAGAAAAAGTTAGTTCTAGACCCAGATCACTAATATCATTATCTAAAATCCATTGCAAATTTTTGGCATATTCTGGATCAATGGATGCCACATCTTGATAATTTACAGGAATACCTAAAAAAAAAAGTGACGATCCAGTTATTACAGTCTAAATGCTGCTTGCTTCATTTTCTTATTTATTTAATGGTAAAATACTGCCCTCTACAGAAATTCTAGAAAACTGCAAAATATAATCCAGTTCACAGCATGTTTTAAATGGACACTAATTTCTAAACTAGGAAATGTGTTAAATTAAATCTGTTTCTTTCACAACTTCACAATGTAATCTTTCTTTGAAACAGGAAGCTGCTATAATCCTCAAAAGTGCCAATTACCTTAAGTATACCCAGATTAAGATGTATTATTTGCATAAACATACATACTAAAATGGAAAATAAAGCTTTCCGGCAAAAGATTTGTTTTAAGCAGTTTGGGTTTTTTTCCCCCTTCCTCTTCCTGTTTCCAAAATATCTTACACACACACAGATGATTTCCAATCAAAAATTACTTCACCCAAAATGCCACTGCTTATCTACTTAGTTATCCTTTAAAAGCTATAAGAAAGGCAATATAAATATAAATAGATGTCTTTGGAAATAATAGAACCATACCAAGAATGTGCTTGTAGAATGATCGTGTGAAATAAATATTGACCAGCTGCCTATGGTTCAAAGCTAATCCCAAGATTTGTCCAGCAAACCGGAAATAGTTCAAGTGATCAGGATTTACATAGGAGTTGCTATTAGGCTGGAAAGTTGTTCCTATTAAAATAAGCACAATATAATTTATTCTCAAAAATCTACATAAAGAAAATGGGTATTTCAATGTACATACATACATTCTTATATAATTGCAGCAAAGCTCAGGTTCCATTATACAACTTACACAGTAATATTTTTGTGGAATATACAAACAAGCAGTAGAACTATGAAAGATAACCAGTAATGCACTCATACTGATAGAGCAAGTCCAGTATATACAGAAAATTTTATAATACTATTGACTAAAAATAGTTGAAGAACACTAGATAAATCCTAGAAAAATATATTAAATATCATTGATAAATACACATGCTTTCCTAAGCATGTAAAATAACTACTAGGTGATAAATTTAGATAAATATTGTCTCATTCATCTATACATGCCCACTGCAGTAGGTATTCATTACCTTTTGTTTCTAAAGGAATAGAATACTCTGAGTAGAACTAAAAATTGAAAATGTACAATTGTTTTTAAGTAATGGGTCTCACCACTGAACCTGATGCCTATCAACAATGATACAAAAATTATTAAGTCTACAAATCAACCTATTCTTTTACATGGAAAATAATTAAATTTTAAAAATTATTATTGAGCTTAAAGTAAAAATGGCAAAGGTTATCAACAGTTACTGAATACTGCTAAAATCTAATGCCATGAAGGTAACTTCACTTCTATTAAGTATCTAGAATAGGCAGTATTTTTATATTCTGAAATTAGATTAGTAATTTGATGTTAGAGAAAGGGTAAACAAGAGTTACTACTTAACAGTTTTTCTTGAGTTGATGAAAAAGTTCTGAAATCAGTGGCGATGGTTGCATACTGCATGTACTATACTTTTTTTGTTTTAAATGCATTTAGTACAGGTTCTACAGTCTCACTACACAGATTGGACTCCTATAATCCTCCTGTTTTCAGCCTCCCAAACACTGGGATTACAGGTGTGTGCCACCACATCAGCCTCAATTGCCATCTCCGTGCACCCTCGGGGCAGGGCCAGCATGGCACACCAGGGATCGAACCAGGTCCCTGTGCTTGCCTAAGCAGGTGAGTTAGTCTGCTGAACTATCTGGCTGGCCCCTGTATGTACTGTACTTAATACTACTGAATTATACATTTTCAGATAATTAAAATGGCAATTTTGTCATGTATTTTACCAAAATCTAGTGCAACATAAAAACTTAACGCTAGTCCCTCAAATTCAATTCTCCTTTCTGTGATGACCAGTAACTTGGAAGAGAAATTTACTCATTTATTCAACAATAATATAATGAGTTCATGCTATGCACTGAGGGTAGCTACAAGAATAACTGATAAATCTAATGAAATAGTTTGCAAGAAAAGTAAAAGGGTATTCTCTTCTTATAAAAGAATGTAAACTTTGGGGAAAAGGGACTGGGATTGTTCCTCAGTGGTGCAGTGTCTGCTCAGCAAGTATGAGCATTGAGTTCAAGCCTCAGTGTCATTAAAAAAAAGCTATTGGAGAAACACCTAAGTTAAGAAAATTTTTAGGAAAAGCAGGTAACAGAGCAAAACATCTGAAAACTGAAATCCCACCATCACTTCAGATATATATTAATTTACAAATCTCTCAAATATACCTCACAAAAATGAGGTGGCAACTATTTGCATATCATCTACAACATCAGATTACAACTCTCTAGGTCACAAATACTTTTTTCCACAAAAAAGATTGTTCAACTTGTATTATGTGGTTAATAACTTTTTAGTCACCAGGTGATGATGTCTTAAGAGGACTACAAATAAAATTAGTATGAGTGAACAGATTATGAATTAAGATTTACTATCCCAATTTCTAGATGTTTGGTTTCATGATTAGGAAATTTTAAGAAACTCAAATGGAGTTACCAAAATTTTTAAAAGTCTATTTATTAGCAACACCATTTTCTAAAAGAAAACATTTACTCAATACAATAACAAAAAGGAAACCAAAGGAGAATGCTTAAAGTAAATAAATTTCAAAGGACCAAGAAGAACTTCTTGACTAATATCAGACCTTGAAACAAGCATTTGAAAACCATCTATTTACAGTAAAGAATGTTATACTGAGTTAAATTCCACTTACAATTCTACCATTGATCATGTGTGTAATGTAGGCAAAAACTCTGAATTTCTGTTTTCTTGTTTTGTTGTTTTTTTGTTTTCCAGAACTGGGGATTTAACTCAGGCCCTTGCGCTTGCCAGGGAAACGCTTATTCCACTAAGCCATCTCCCTGGCCCCTCTGTTTTCTTTAACATGGGAATACTCCACCTGGCTTAAAAAGTTACTGTGGGAGTCAAAGTTAACACGTACTGAAGTAGTTTGAAAATATGACAAGTCACAGAAAAAGTCTAGATCACTCAACCTACCATCAGCTGACTGTGTAAACAACGCATAATCAGGATTGACGATCTCATTTGACAGAATATCAAACCACTCACGTACAACACCTTGACCCTGAATTCAAGAAAATAAAATTTATCATCAACACAAATATACTGGGAAAATTTTTCTAAATAATAAAGAAATTAAAATACTGAATAAGATTCTTCTCTCACCAATATTAAATATTAATCAAATGTGTTTCCACTGTTTACAGTGATTTCTACATCACTTATTTTTTATACCTACCATGCCTTCTTCTCCATAGAACCGTACAGCAATCCCTTGCTTTAGCTTTGCACAATTTGCTTTTGACACAACTTCACAGCTACTCCTAAAAATAGAATCTAAATATGTAGCATTCATTAATTTTACATATGAAACTTTACAATAACAAAGACATCATACCTCACACATATATCAATTTCTCTGCTAAACATACCTCTATGAACCAGCAGAATATCATTTTCATTCACTGGTCGGTGTACCATATCTGAATCAGGTTGTCCTGAATGCAAATGTTCATAGAACCATTCGCAACGATCTTTGAATGGCTACACAAAAAATTGACAGTACAGTATGTCAGCAGTATTTCAGTCACCTAATTACCACTTTATTAGCATGCTTATAGTTAGTAAATTTCTGCAAATAATCACTCAGACCTTCATTTATAATAGTTAATAATGTTCTAACATTTCCACCACTATTCATAAAAACTCTTCAGTTCATAGTTGAAATACTTAATCTAAATAATGTATTTTTTACATTCCTACATATTTAACAGCAAGAATTAATGTCATATCTAAGAACTTAATATGTATGTAACTGAACATATCTACTCCCAATTTCTTTTAAACCCAAAAAAGCTTACAAGAATGAATTCTCACACCTAGAAAAATGATGGTTCATTTTCCATTTAACTTTTCATGAAAATAATCCTTTACACCTAGCCTTAAACTTTTTATCCTTTAAAATACAAGGCAGCAACTAGAAAGAAATTCATTATATTTCAATCTTCCATTCTTCTACCCTAAAAGCTAAAGAATGAGATCTCTTGAAGAGTAAAGAAAAGTTTAAACATTTTTTTCATTTGCTATGTAAAGCAAGCTACAAGTGATCAGCAATTATAATTAATCAGAAAGTATAATTGAGTACCTAGTATGTGCCAATACCATTAATAATATAAAAGCAGTAAAATTATCAATTTGCATAAAATCAAATTTTTAACACTGAAGTACAAACTACAGCTACACCATGAATTTAGAAACTGCAGACAACTGCAGTACAAAGATTTCACAGGGTCTTGGTTTGAGCTGAGACTGAAAAATTCTGTAGAACCTGCTAATCAGAGAGGAAAAAAGCAGACCAGGTTAAGGGAAACAAAGGCACAGAAGGAGAAACCACCTCCTTAGAAGATATAGCAGTTTTCAGTGCCTGCTAACAGCCTACCAAGCAAAGATTATGTAAGCTTGCAATCAAGGCTCAACACAATATGACAGTATGACTCCAGCCTGTCCTTCTCACTTAAATGAAAATCCTACAACAATCACTGTAATTGTAGACAGTTTTCCATCTGCCGGCCTATAATTTTGCTAGAATGTTCATCCTCCTCTTTACTCCCTTCATAATATTCCATGCTTTTCAAACTTTTGAAAGTCACTCAAAATCTACTTTTTTCTTTTTGTATCAGAGATCAAACTCAGGACCTTGCGCTTGCCAGGCAGGTGCTTAAGTCACTGAGCTATTTCCCCAGCCTTAAACCTACCTCATTTTTGAAATTTCCTCTTACTTTAATTTCTTCATCCCTTAAATTCCTAAAGAAACATATAATAATTACTGATTTCTAGCTTAGATAAATGAAATGATTTCTACCTCCAAAACAACAAGCATTTACTGAGTATATATGTAAGTTGCTCTTATATTATTCACTCCTCATAATAGTTTAAAGAGATAAATATAATTAATACCTCCAACGCCATTAAGAAGTCCCCTTTCAGATATTTTTCAGACAGCAATAAATTATTCATTTTAGCAAAACTAAATATTAGTTTTGTTTTAAAAGGCTTACTTTTTAAATCTTAAAAATATTTAGATAACTGCTAACGAATTACCTACTTTTTTAAATATCTGTTTTGTCAGTAAGAAAAGGAGTAAATGATCCTTTTTAAAGTTATATATACTCTGGTTTCTCTTCAGATCATATAAATTTTTCACCTTTTACTAAAAAGTTACATGTGTAATTTTATTTGTATGTCCAACAGTCTTCCACATTTTAGTAAAACACTGCCACTAATATATGTTATTATATGTACTAGAGTGCACATATTTTTTAGTAAACATGGTGGAATATAATGAACTCAAAATTTTAATCCCAATTATTTCTAATATTTTGGTAAAACACTACAAACATTATATTGAAGCAATGGACTTAATTATGAGCTTGGAAATAAGATAGGCATGGAATAAAGTCCTAATTTTATCATTAAGTTTGTGATCTTAAGAAAATTACTAATCCTCTCAAAACTTTATAGTTTTTTCACCTATAAAACAGAAAATACCTACTTCAAGGATGGTGAGAATTAAATGAAAAAATGCAAGCAGAAAATTACAATTATAAATTAGCTAACACTCAAAAAGCACCTATAAGCCACGTAATATTTTAAGCCCTTTACATGTATTACTGCATCAGACTCTCACAACATTAGCAAAAAATAGGGCTATCATCCCCTTTTTCAGAAGAGGAAAATGTAGCACTAAGGAGTTAAGTAACTTGAGGAAATAGTCAATATTGACAACACTTATTACCACTCATAACAATATTAAAATTATTGTCCATACCTATTTAAAATGACAGTACACTTCCTTGCTACTATAAGATCCCAAACTATCATTTATCTATAAAGTATGAACTGAGAAATAAAAACAGATGGTACTTTTTAAACTAATTTATGTGAAACATTAAAAGGTACAAAGCACTACCTTCAAAATCTAGTATCTATAAGATCAGCAAACGCGTATACACCCACACGCACACATACACACACGTATAAACACCTACACAGCCAAAGGGTGCATTTTTTTATATAAACTTTCTGAGTACCTGAGTTTCCATATATAATTCACAAAACAGGACTGATTACAGTGGCTCCTCTTAATAGCATTTGTACAGCAATACAAAATGTCTCTCCCTTTAACTACTGGCCACCTGAAAACCACCAACAGAAGAAGAAGTCAATCCTTTATTAGTGGTAGTTGCTCTTTAACTTTTTTGGATGGAATAGTCTCTATGTTACAGAAAATTTCCAAGTACAGTAAAATAAAAACACCTTTCTTTGACATGAGAGTAAGTTGCCAATATCCTGCCCAGTCATCCATAAACACTTTGATAGATATTCCCTACAAAGTAATTCTCCTATATAACCAGGTAACAACTTTTAAATTAGGAACACTGATGCATTATTACATCTACTGCTTAGACCTAATTTCAAGTTTTATAATTTTCTAATAATATTTTATAGCACAATGATTCATGAACTACATTTAACTGCCCCATCTCTATTTCCTGAACTCTAGTACAGTTCCTGTTTTCTTAATTTGCATAACCTTAATATTTCTGGAGCCTGCAGGCCAGTTAATTTGGTAGCATATCTGTAGGTGGAGTCAGGTCAGTCTGAGGTTTCCTGGTGCTCAGACTCAAGAGCATGATCTCTAGGGAACACCACAGAAGAAAGGCCATGACCTTCTCGGTGCACCTTACCAGCTGGCACACTCGTGTATCTACTCTGATCACTGCCAAGTTTCTCTACAGTATGGTTCCTCTTTCCCTTTGTAATTAGAAAGTATTCTATGAGGACATATTCTGAGAGTATAAATACCTCACACCTTGTCCATATTTATTCATGAATTTTTCAGTAAAGACATATTTGGTTTATTTTTTTTTATTTTTATTTCTTTATTTTTAACAGGCGATCTCACTATATAGTTAACACTGTCTTGAACCCACTATATATATAATCCAGACTGGTCTCCAACTCACAGAAATCCTGCCTCAGCCTGCTGAGTGCTGGGCTTACAAGAGTGCACTACTATGCCTGGCTCTCTTATTTATGTATTGCTATCTTTATTTTGAAGTTATGTTGTTCCTGATTTGTCCAATGAGAATCCATTTAAGCTGACTTCTAAGTCACAGCAACATAATTCTACCATGTTTTAAATTGTTCTTTACTGGACAACAAAATGTTCCAGACTCATCCTGTACCTCTCAAAATCCAGCTCTGGAATTTGCCATTTTTCTCTAACAAGCCTCATTCATCCAGAATGGTATATGAAGACCACGAGCTGGTGCCAGGTTTGCTTAATCTATCAATAAAGAATGAAAGCTCTAGGTTCACACAGATATCTCCAATTCAAATTCAACAGCACACATTCTGTTCTAGGTTCTGCACTTTCATAACTAATGTTTCAAAGATAAAAAATCAAGAGTTAATGTTCTCACCAATCTTCAACCCCCCGCCCCATACCTAACAATCTATTATTGCTGACAAGACCTCTTCATTGCAGAATTCCACTGAGGCTCTGTCACATAACTCCCAGAGCTACCACTACCCTTACACATTAGTCTGCTCCTTAGGCTACCTGGCTAACACCTCCTTACCATCTCCAAACTCCAAACCCCACAAGAGCCCGGCACTATTCATATGGAAATTTTCTTCACCCTGGTGCATCAATAAAATTCCCTTTCTGGGTCAACCAGGATAGATGCAGATATTTTCTGATTAAATTGTTCAGGAAAGAAAAAGTTAAAAGTGATAAGCAGAGACAGTTATGATAAAGAGTAAACTAACTCTCTTTCAAAAACTAAAAACCATTTTCACCTATGATTCATTTGACCTATAGAAGAGTCATACACTGTAATGTAGATTAAGAAAATTAACTTAGGTAGCTAAAATGCAGTTCAGAGGCAGAACACTTGACTACTATGCATAAAGTTCTAAGTTCAATCCTCAGCATTAGAAAAACAAACAAAAGGGAAAAAGTGAACTTAAGAGGGTTAGGGATTTAGCATAGAGATATAGCATTGGCTTAGCATGTGCAAGGCCATAGATTGTATCACTGCAACAAAATAAATAAATAAATAAATAAATAAATAAATAAGGCCTGGTGGTATAGCTCAATGAGAAAGCACCTGCCTAACACATACAAGACCCTAAGTTTGGTTCCTAATCCCGCCCCCACCTCAAAGAAATTATGAACCAAACAGAATTTTAACTTCTGGTTCTCTCACTTAGTAACAAAGAGTTAAACAAGTTACTTAACCACCTTCAGCTTCAACCAAGTAAGTTGATTGTTCCAAAAATTATTCATTTACAGCAAATATATAGTATTAAGCTTAAAATTGGCAGTCAAACATTGTAAGTTATTGTTACTATCTTCTCATTTGCATTACATTATAGATATCAAAAGATTCTGATATACAAGTGCATATTATAAGTTAATTCTCAAGTTTGTTTTTAACTTCTGAAAGTCAATATTCCTAAAGACATTTAAACACTGCCTATGGTATTTATAATTTTAGAACTACTTAATCAAACCACAGTCCCAAATCTATCCTAACATATCTCATAAATTATCCTCTAAAACTTTAGCAGGATCATGTAATTCTCCTGAAACCAAGTTATCACTGCCTCCTAACAGCCTAGTAAATAAAGATTATTTAAGCTTGCAATCAATTCTCAACAAAATATGACAATATGACTCCAACCTATCTCACTTTTCACAGAAACAAAATTTCTGCTGCAAATACCACTTTTAAACACTTTTGTATCTACCAGCACATACTTTTGCTACAATGTTCACCCCCCCCTTCACTTTTTTCACAGTATTGTTTTTCAAACTTTTGAAAGCCACTTAAAATCTACCTCCTTTTTGAAATTTCCCTTTACTGTAAGGACTTCATCCCTTAAATTCCTAAAGAAACAAGTAATTATTTGCTCTCTAGCTAAATGAAAATGATTTCTATCTCCAAACAACTAACATTTATTGACTACATATGTCAGTTACTCTTTAAATAGTTTCCACAATAATTCTATGAGGTCACTGTCATTATCCCTATCTTATAGGCAAAGAACTCAAAATCACCTAGCTAGTAAGAAACAAAACAAGCTTTTCCCCAGCATGTTTCACTGAACCTAAAGTATATGAAATGAATAAGCACAATCTAACAGAGGAAAGGTTGTCGGGTCATACAAGTTCAGAAAATCAGCAATGTTAAATCACTGTTTTCATCAAAGGGTTTCTCAAACTCTTTTATATACTGATGCTGTGTTTATAAATTTCCCAAGTATATTTGGGAATAAAATCCTTTTCTCAAAGACGGTCTACCTTACAGGATTGGAATGTCATATAACTCCTTTCAGGAAATGGGGCAAGGTACTGTTCTTACAAAGGCCTCTGCACATAGTAGGCACTCAATACACTTCTTGAAGACAAAAATGTACTTCTTAACATAACATAATTCCATTGCTCTTACTTATAAGAGTTTTTAAATATAATAATTACTAAATGTTCCAATTTAAAAAATTTCATTAGAGAGACTAAAATCAAGAGGAAAAAAATTTTTACCTGTGCTTTTATGATATGCATGAATCTTGACATCAATTCAGGGCATTCAAGGAGAAAATGAAAGTGGTCAAATATAATTTTGGGATTTCTAAAAGAAAAATACACTTTGTATAAGTGGAAAGGTGAGTAACATTAAGCAAAATGCAAATTCAGATAAAAGGAAATGACGCGAAGACAAAATGTGTTATCCCCTACTTATACACTTCCAGTTGATACTGAGTAATTTTTAATTGTTAACAGAAAGAGCTTTTTAGATGAAACTCTATGTAAAGGAATAAAAGCAGCTATGGCAGTCTCTGAATCCCAGAAAGTCTTACCTATTAACAAAACATTTTAAAACTTCATCATGTTTGCAGACAAATTCAATGAAACGAGGTGAAGTCATTCTGTAAGGAATAAAAAAAACTGTAATAATACATAGACACACATTGGTAATATGATACAGCAAATGTGATAAGCATATACTTGAACTGTAGTAGCTTCTAGACCTCTTGAAAGAATCTGGGTTTAGATCTTCTTTATAATTTAGAAAACAGGGGGGCTGGGGATTTGGCTCAGCGGTAGAATGCTTGCCTGGCAAGCTGGAAGCCCTGAGTTCGGTCCTCGGCACCAAAAACAAAAAATAAACCTCCCCTAAAAAACAATTCAACCAAAAAAATACAGTAAAATCAAAAAAGACCAAAAACAAACAAGGCAAATAACTGAGAAAACAGACATATCTAGTTAATTTGTAACGTGAAATAAAATATATAACTTCTCCTTGATAGATTATACAAAAATGCAGGAGCTCCTATAAAAGGTGGCATTCAATATTTACACAGAAACAATTTACATGTTATTTGTTCAAAATTTAAATATTTTGTACCAGATCTAGATTCAGACAATGAATATCATAAAGTAAGATCAAAACAGCACTTAAAATCAACCAAAAATTATTTGTTGTTACTGAAATTATAAAAATATAGCTTTTTTTTCAACTATCAGGAAAAAGAAAATAAGCCACAACTTTCTTACCCTGGAGGCATCTGACAAGAGCAGCACATGTAAAAAGCTTGAATGACAGCACTTAGCCGGTTGGCTGTCATAGAAATAACATCCTGACAATCTGCACTGGCTTCCTGTTTCCCTGCAAGAGCATCTGGTTTGGATTTTCCTGTGCCAGTTGATAGATGTTCATAGCTCCCAGGTCCTGGAGGTTCAAATGGTGGAATGGAAGTGGCATCTTGATCTTGGCCTTTTTGTTTCAGTAAAATAGAAGTGATATCCGTTGAGTCCTTTTTGTTTTTCATCAATTCTGTAGCTATTAAAACTAGCCATTCATCTAATGAGTGCCAAAGCAATTCCAGAGGCTAAGAGAAAAAGAATATACTTCTTAATCACCATTAAACTACAAGATGAAATAAAAACACAAAAATCAACTCCACATACTTCAGTAATACAAAGGAAACAATGTTTTCCAGGTATTTCTATCTTCCCAAGACAATGACAGTAAAGATTAAAAGTAGCAAAAGCAGATAAATGTCATATATATGGCAAATTTCATTAGAGCTAACATTTAATTTGTATGTACAAGGTACAATGGAAAAATATGGCGAATGTTTAAATTATGTGTTTCTTAGAATAAAAAAGCTAAAACCTAACAAAAAGTAATTTTACATCAATTTTCAAATATCTAGTTTTTAAAATCATACATGTTAATCCCTAATATTTATATTATGTAATTTTCAGCTAAATAAAACACATCTCATTTCAATTAAAAGTGAAAACTCTTAAAGAAACTAATAAACAGTTTAGTTTTTAAACCCCTTTTTATGTATATTCCTAGAATTTTCATAATTTATGAGAAAAAATATAAAAGTGTATTTATACACACATAATAATACATGCTTTCACACACACCACAATGCAAAGTTAATAATATTTAAAACAGTAAGTGTAATTACCTAACCTCTACAAATAGTGACTAGTAAATTTGTTTGTGGTGGAGATTGAACCCAGGGCCACTTATTCATAGTAAGCACACACTCTATCACACACTCTACCACTCAACTACAAGAGGAAAGTAAGGATGAGCGACCTTAAGGAAAAAAATGCAGAAAAGTTAAAATGGTATTTTTCAGTTTAACACTGCAGCAACTCAGCAAATAGTAAAGATTTTCACAACTTGAATTACCCCAAAATGAACAAGAAGCCTTATATGCATTGATGGCAATGCAGAAACTTCTATCCTGTGAGAAGCCAGATTATTTTGTGTTAATGAAATTAGATAGAGACCCATAAATTCCTTAGGAGTTAATAAGCACTAATGTTTTCAAAAATTAGCTGCTTTTTGGACTACAAATATTTTACTAAAAGAGAGTTTATAGCTCAAGAATAAACAGTCAGTGGCAAAAGCACTTGTCAATAATGCTAAAACTACCTTTTACAAATGAAGACACTCCTTAGGCACACTCTACATCATCGATCACTTTCCTCTTTGGCCCCATAATCTCCTTGATCAGAAAATTTGGGACACTACTGAGTTACATGACGTTACAGTACAAGTTCTCATATGTCCTGAGTCTTAATTGACCTTGGAAGGCTAGGGCCAAAATGTTGGCTTTCCTTGCAGCCCTCCTTTTTCTCTAATTTTGGTCTGCAAACTTAGGTTGTTAACCATCCAGAAGACAAGCTTATTGTTATTACCATACAACTTAGGCTGTTAAGCTTAACCTCACTATCTGTCTGCGTATCAAACATCTTAGGCATAACATGGAACAGGTATTTTTCATCAAGTATTGATACAATGAACTTTTAAGTCCACAGAATATGATGAAAAAACATTTTGAAACTGTCTTATTACTATTTGTTTCTCAATAAAATTATGAAAAAAATAAATAAAAATAAATAAATAAAAATGACACTGATAAAAGAAACTGGGAAGAATTTCATATATATCATATATACACGAATTTTGGATTCTATTTAACAAAGGAAATGTAATATAATCTTTTTTTCTGCCATTATATCTATACTGACTGCCTAGATAGAAAACTAAGATTTAGAACAAGCATTAAGTGCCCATAAAGAAACTAATTAGGACATTGTTTCCCATATCATTAGCAAGTAAGTGGAAGATTCAAATTTTAACAACAAAAAAGACAATATTGAATATATTCTATATCCAAGCTAAGTAATTGTGACTATATCCATATCTGATCTTATTTTCTATTTATCATTATAGATAAATAAAAAGGATGAGTAAAAAGTAAAGTCACAGGTAAATTCATCCTAACAGTAAGCAAGGCCAGAACACACTAAAAAGTCCTGTGATACGAATGAGCAGTAAAACTCATAACATCACTAACAAGAATACATCAATAATTTAGATTAAAATTTTACAAAGACAGTAAACTGCAAATTCTAACTAGTATTACAGAAAACGGTGCCTGAAATTCCAGCTTAAATCCAAAGAAGATGCATACTTTTCTTTTTCCAGAAGGTGGCACAATAGGAGAAGAGAGGTTAAAAGAAAGAAACACATACATACCTGTATTTAATTACCTTTCTTTCCTACTCTGAGTTTCAAAAAACAGAGAAAACAAACAGATGGACAGATACTTTTGCATACCTCTCTAGAAGAATATGGAGCTTAATAACAAAACTATTACTGTCAAAATGATTGCAAACCACTTCTAAGTATTTGTCAAAAATTTTCCAAGTATCATGCACAAGGCCCTGGGTTTGATCCTCAACACCACGAACAATGTGTAAGACAATAATCACTTAAAACAGACTGTCAATGTAGCCTCACAGTTTACAAAGAGCAAAACTCTCAATCATAGTTGGTTTTTAAGGAGGTAGCACATGAAAACACTATTTAGACGGATAACCTTGTATTTATACTCACATTTAAGCAAAATTAACTTTAAATAAAGAAATAACATGAAAAAGCTTGAGATATAACTTGGTGTAGAGTACTTGCCTAGCATGTGAAAGGCCCCAACATCAAAGAAGCAAAAAGTTTTTAAAAAATATAAAAATTATTAAGTTATACATTTCAACAAAATCTGAGTTTTTAAAAACTGTAATGCCACAAAAAAGCATTAATACCAAAGCAACACAGTCTTGGACTTTATTTGGAGTCCTTCTTCCAAGGATTCTATTTATATAAGCTTGCATAAAAGAAACACTAGAAGTAATCCAGAATATTTTACGAAATATCTCAGTGACTCTTCCTTGAAGTGATCTCAAGAATTAAGCTTTATTATGCTCAGTGAATAAAAGCAATCTTTCCCCAATAAATATTTTAAGTAGTAGCTATCATATTAAGAACACATCAATAAGGTCAGTCATAGACTAAATATCTCTAACCTTAAAATACTAATGAAATAAAAATTTTATGTGCAAGAAAGTATAGAGAGCTCACCAATTAAACCTTCCAGTTCTTTAGACAGTTAAAAGAAGAAAGGTGTACCTTACTTAAAAAGTGATACAGGCATGAACCAAATTTACCTCCTGTTCCTGAGGTTTCTGATTAATGAATGCATGCTTTGTCAAATTCATCTCTTTTACGTCTATCTTCCTAACAGTATCATATACTTTTCTGACCTTGAACACCTGGCTTCTTGGAGTTTTATTTCCATTGTAGCCCATATCAATGCCATTACTGGGGGAGGAAGGCCCAATTCGAAAGACGTGACAAAATATCCTTACAATCCTTAAAAGGCTCTTCATTTGTGCATCATAATTGCTAGACAGGCTGAAAATGCAAAATAAAATATGAGCAGATTAGATAGAATAAAACAAATTATATCATCAAATACTTATTTTTAATAATATTTTATCACCACTATTTTATAATGTAACTTGAATAAAATTCCTTTCCTATCATGATAGGAGATACAACTAACCGGAAGATATCAAATACAATTATTTGAACTGCAGATAAACAATTTTTAAGCACCTAGAATATAAAAAGTAATCAAAACATAAAGCAAATTCCTGCTTAAAATGATGTTATATTTTACTCTATCATATTACTCTAACATAATCTCCAACTTTCACTTCAAAAATTGTATTTATAAATTAAACTACTTAGAACTCTGAAGACACTTCATTGAGAAGTAATGGGATAAATGTTACATTTTTTGGACAATCAACAGCTGAAGTATTATAACTATGAGGCTGAAACAAACTCTCTGCCATTATCCTGTATCCATTTTTCACTCCAGTAGAGTTGTACACATATAGAACATTCATAAATTGAATAATCTTAAAGTTATTACTTGTATCACAGTTGCTCTCTATAAAATGGGTTCTCTTATAACTCTATAAACATAAAAATATACTTTATCTTTAAAAATGACAAATTCAACTAACACAATCATATGGACTACACTACAAACTTTTCTTTGTAGATCAGAAAGCCCTCATGCTTTTGGCTGTGTCTTCGAACTGGCCAATATTATAAATGGCTATCATTACTCTTCCACAGAGAAACCCCAATAGTTCAGCTTAATTTGCATCAAATGTAATGGTATATCTATAAACAATTATTCAAGAAGTGCTTGTGTTTTGAAATCGCTGACATTAGTTAACATGTATTACAACTGCTACACAAAGAACAGTGAAGAGCTGCATAAACATTTGGGAAAAACAGCATGATTATATAAATTTAACAACTAAAACCTTATTCTCTTCTGTCCTATATTTTAACTACTGCACTAGAATATTTTTACATATACTTGAAACAATGTTTAAAAGTTAAGATTTGTAACGTGTGGCTAGCAAATGTCTATGTCCAAGTCTTTCAGTTTGAGAAACATAAATCAAAATTTCTTGATATTTTGACTTCCACATTCATGTTTTCTCCCTTAAAGATTTACTAAATTAGTTCATTTAAGTCAATAAAAATTAGTCATCAGCTGCTACTATTAGTAATATTTAAGTAATATTACTTTCAGTATTCTTATTTTACTGGGACAGCTACAGCATATTAGCAAAACTTTTCATTTCAGAACTGATTTTTACATATTTCTCTTTACAAATTGTTCCTGATTTTTATATCATAAGATTCTGAAATAAATAAGAAATGTAGTTTAGTTGTAGTTTTATTTTACTGTTTACTGTGGAAAAGTTAATTTCAAAGACTAAAAATTAAATGAAAAAGATACACATATTGATTTTCCTTTTCAAAATCACCACTTATGCAAATATTTATTTCTCACAAATCTGACCCAAGGAATATTTCATGGGTTATCTTTTCAGGTAAGAAACATTTTCTTAAACAATGAAATATAAGCTCACTATCAATATAACCTATAAATTTATATTACTTATTAATATAACCTACAAATTTATCTCACTTTATCTAGATAAAACTTCTTTTATTTTTTTTTTGGCAGAACTGAGGATTGAACTCAGGCCCTTGCACTTGCCAAGGAAGCGCTTAGATAAAACTTCTGAGTTAAATCCATGGCTTAAAAATATCCTTTACCCACATTTCAACCAGTGAAACATTTCTTTGTATCAAAAAAGATTATAAGATCTAAGCTTCATTACATTTTTCTCTGGTTGATAATTATCATTTTTTTCCAAAACTATTGTATCTCCATATAAAAAAACTTTAAACTGGCATTCTAACAAAAACACAATTCTAGTAAGTCAACCAACCTCCCAAGCAGAGTTAAACACAAGAGGTTAAGAGTAAGGCAATATACACAATTCAAAAAAGATTACTGAAAAGGGGAATGTTCCTGCGCTCTCACAGAAAGCCATATGGTCAACCACACTATGACCCATCCTGGCAAATGACACAACTATAGGAGTTACAACTCCAGAAGCTAAAAGGCTCTTCACACAACCCCCAAAAGTAACCTCTGGGGAGCCTTAACTGACCTTGACAAATTTCAATTAACACAGGACTTACTTTGACATAATCTTAAAACACTCATCAGGAAATAACCAAAAGGAGGTTGAGGGCAGGAAGCTAATAATAATAATAATAACAACAACAATAAAGCTAGGATATATATATAAAAAGGAGGTACAAATACACCACTACCACCACCACAATAATAATAATAAAACTAGGATATATATATATAAAAAAAAGGAGCTACAAATTCACCAACAGTCCCTACTGATAATCTCCAGCTGCACCTCTAACATCTTAATTCACAGCCATAAAAGGCCATGACTCCTGGTTCTATTAGCTCTCCCAATTATGTGTCCTTCATCCTTTCTTAGTATATTCTCATTATGCTTTTTTAAAATATTTTCAAACATCTCTCAAGTAGAAATATGGCTTCTTGTACAGATATCCCTATACAGAAAACTTCAATATAAACATTTTAGCTACTATGCTTGTTATCTTTGTGGTATGAACTGTTGTCTACTTCCTACTTTGCATCTATTTTATCTGGTGTCAATCACTACAAAAGGTCTTCAGGTTTAGAAAATTCAAGTTTCAAGTCCAACAATAAAAACATTAATGGTCCAGTGGTCACAGAAACATAGTATCTTTAGTTTATCCTTTGACAATTATTATAACTAAAATAGGACTGCATTGGATTTCTTACTGATCAACCAGAGGAGTCTACATGCTCTTAAACTCCACTTGTTGAATCTGGATA